GACTGGTCTAATAACTGCCGTGAGTCAGTACCGTCTTTTCTGGGGGTTTAACACTTGGGGCCCGTGCCCAGGAACCCCATCTTCAGCGGGCCCTGAAGGACCGACAATGTCTACGATGAACGTGTGTCCTTCGTAATGGGTACGTGTAAGGGTACACGTTGCGCGGCAACCGGCTGCTCCGTACCGCACGCACGTCAGCAGGGTGCTTACTCTTGAAACCAATCTCAATGTCAATGCAATTTTAATCCTATAAAACCTCAATAATTATTCAATGTCAATACTATAAACAACCACAATCGTAGCTGTCAAAATAGCATTCAGAAAATCATCGGATGACTTCTCCCGCCTGTATGAGGCGGGATGGAGAGTCAGACTCTTACTGACTAAAAACCACCCCGTTCCTACTCTTGCATTTCGAGCCGGAGCCTCGGTAATCCGTTAGGTTCTCCGCGGCTCTGATATAAACAGGTGCCTTGTGTTGTGAACTTGTGTTTTGCTTTAGTTGGTGCACAGGCGCAACGCCGGGCGCCATAATATATGTAAATGCTGTATTTACCTAGTAGGGTAGACGACTAATTTTTATTTTAATGTCCGTCTGGTAGATTATTTAAAAAAATTAGACACGTATTTTTTATTTTCTTACGGAAACGATATATTGATTTGAAATGTCGCATGACGTCACTTCTCAGTACATTTTATACTAAGAAATGACGTTTTAGCCCCCACTCCTAAACATTGATTCGTTTTATCTAAGTATTGTTTTATTATACGACAAAATAAAAAAATACGTGTCTAATGTTTTTTAATTACCCAACTTACGGACTAATTATATTTTTAATTTTCATACCCTGTCATCATCCCCATTAAGAACGTAATTTGTATGAACTATCACATAAGTTTATCAGGTACTTTTTTTTTCTTCTATGACATTTGAGTATCCACTATTTAGATGGTGAAACCGGCGCTTACTGTTACCTATTACTATTTTGACAATAGGCATGGCGACTATTTTTTAATTTTTTGTCCGTCTTTTAGATATTTTAAAAATCTTCGATACGTATTTTTTCTTTTTTCTCGTATCCAAAAAAACATGTAGATATTTTGAGTTAAAATGACGCGTGACGTCACAATTAGGTACGATTTCTCCGTAAGTGTGACGTCAACACCCCCACTCCCTAACTTTAATGCGGAATAACTACGTATTCTTCTGTTAATTTGATAAAACAAAAAATACGTGTCTGATATTTTCGTGCGATCTTAATGACGGACTAATTACTTTTTTGATTTTTTTACCCTGTCGACACGCCTATT